GTTTAGGGTTTAGGGTGCTAAGCCCCAAGCCCTAAACCCTAAGCCCCAAATCCTAGAACCCTAAACCCTGAGCACCAGACCCTAAACTCCAAGCCCCAAATAGTAGTTTCCATTTTCTTTTCCTTTATCCCTATAAAACCTCTATAAACCCTAGACTCCAAACTCCTAGCCCTACACCTAAACCCTAAACCCTAAACACTAAGCCCTAAACGCTAAATCCTGAACCCTAAACCCGAAACCCTTCTGGACCCCAAGCATGCCAGAGAGGTGATGTTCCCCGAATGCCAAGCTCTAGGCTGCAACCAATGCCAGTCTGCAAGGACTCTGAGTTTCGGGTTTGAGGGTTTAGGGGTTTAGGGTTTACATACAGGTCTAGGTTTTAGGGTTTAGGGTTTGAGGCTTTAGGTTTTAGGGGTTTATTAGGGCTTCAGGGTTTGGACCTTGGATTTCAGGGTTTAGGTTTTAGGGTTTTAGGGTTTAGGGCCTAGGGGTGGGAGTTTGGGGTTTTATGGTTGAGAGTTGGGGGTTCGGGGTCCGGGGTGGGAGACGCCCACATTATAACCAGCTTATACAACACGGTCCTAAACCCTAGGCCCTACACAGTCCTTTAATTGATAGCCGAGACAACAATCTTCTAAAATCTCGAATGCTAGGAAAGCGGCTGCCGGTATCATTTCCCCTAACAATCAACACCCCCCCAATGATAATCAATGTTCCCCCTAATGTACAATGATAATTGCATTTAGTGGGGGTATTTGTCATTCGGGGATTGGGGGTTTCATTGTAAGGGGAAGGGGATTTCTTCGGGATTATGGTCTAGGGATCTAGTCTGCTTAGCTAGATGAGTCCTTGTGAAGATATTGGCAGTCCTAGTGGGATATACATAAGCGCCACTGCAGCATTCCCGTAGGTATCGCCTCAAACTCCAAACCCTAAGCTTGGCAAAGTGATTCAGACATGGGTGTTTCCCAAACTGGAGACTGGGCAGCCCAAGGATAGAGATGATGGAAGGGGTCCCGTCGCAGAGTTTTGGAAGATTATTTGGAGGAACTCCTACATGATTGTTTTGCTGTTGGAGAGTTCTACATTGCAGCTTCTAAAATGAATGGATGGCATGTGGTTGCATTTCTATTGAGCCATGCCGGGGAATTTGGCTAAGGAATGTGAGGCCCATTCAAATTGCCACTCATGCGTGCCAAGATCTAACTTAGGAGTGCTTTGCTATCCTTCCGTTTCCACCCCACCCCAAATTAGGTTAAAAGGAGTTCTGTAGCCCGTTCTTAGATGTTATGTGGGGAGCAGGAGGCAGACTCCCAAGCCCTCCTCCGTGCAAGGACATGGTCGATGATAAGGCAAAGATGATCGAGCCCTGCTCAGGCTACCTGGTAAAACTCTTCGGACCTGTAAACCCGACGTGCTAAGCTACTTTCTTCTGTGCCGAAGTGCATGTGGGATTTGTGTTCAAGCATGTTCCGGGGTCCCTAAGCGGCCAACCCTGAGCTGGCCTTTATTGAGTTCAGATCTTGACCTTCAAGTGGTACGAAGGCTCAAGGATACCCACCCATGATGTTGTAGTTGCGACCATGGTCTGCCATCAAGCTTGCTTGCAAGTGTTGGCTCGCATAGAGAACCAAAGGTAAATCACAGCACCCTTTTGATGCACCGGAGTGGGGGGATTGTAGGCATACGAACTGCGCAAGACGGACGATGTCATGATTGACTGTTAACTGTTGTGAAGCAAGTTGCTCATGTGTATCCGGGGGACGAACTGCTTCTTGTCATCATCTCAGTAGCAGGTTCTGATGCATCCAAGAGATGGCACCAATGGTCACTTTTGACAGATGTAAAAATTCTCTGCGCACACGATATCGTTTGTTATGGTTCAGAGGCGTTCTCGGGCCTTGACCATGTGGTACGTAGCTCTACCCTGGCTCCAGAAAGTCCTAGCCCCTAGCCCTAATCATGCTCGCATCCCTTGACCGAACTGGATTCCGGGTCCAACTGAGGCTGTTTTTCATGTGTGTTTAGGCTACAGGGTTTAGCTTTTAGGGTAATCCTCGAGGGAGAACTACTAAGATTTTCTCATTTGGGGTCTAGAGTTCCCGCGGGTATGTTATTTCAATTGTTGGTCTAGGGTACTTTGAGCAAAGATGTTTCCATTGAGACGGGTCCAGGTCATGGTTACACGTATTGTTCAACTTTTGACTTTACCAAAACCCACAAGGTCACCAGGAATAGAAGGCTATTTTCTGGGTGATTCTCCCTTACAGGGACCGTTGCCACAAAGGACAATGGGCAATTGGAGTCATAAAAGCCCTGAACCCTAAACTCCCGTCTTAGTGAGACCCTAAACCCTAAACCCTTTAAGAACAGTTACTGTGGGAATTGATGCCATGACCCCAGCTAGCCCCAGAACCCTGAACCCTAAAATCCCCATAGCCTAAACTTGCCTAGGGTTTAGGGTATTAGGTTTAGGCTTCAAAACCTTGAACCCAAGAATCCCCACGCCCTTCCCTAAACCCTAAACCCTGAACCCTAAACCCCTTAACTTGCCCTAAACCCTGATCATCCTAGCCCGAAAACCTTAGAACCTCCTGAACCTTGAATTTAATATTGGGATAATGGAAAAGAAAAATTGAAACTACTATAGGTTTAGGGCTTAGGGTCGCAATAAGGAAGCAGGTAAGGTTTTGGTAGGTTTAAGGGTTGCAAGTTTAGGGTTTGGGTTTCAGGTTTTAGATTTGGGTTTGGGGTTGAGGATTAGAATTCAGGGCTTGGGGCTTCAGGATTGAGGATGCAGGGTTTTGGGTTTAAGGTTTTGATTTCATCCCTGAAGATCATCCTCACCCAGCCAGTCTATATTGTAGAAATGCAGCTGAAAGCATGCTGCATGATTCTTGATATACTTTGCACTGGGCCTTATGCCCTACAAGAAGAAATTTCGGAGACGGACAATCAAAAACGAAATGGGACATTGACTGAGAACAAGGCTTTCATAGGGCTGTTATGTAAGAAGAACAGAGTTTGGTAACCACAACCCCAAAGTTGGGGCTCTAATATGGTATAAGGGTTGCCGACCCATGTTTCATGTGATTTTCCACTTCATTCTACCATTGAATTCTTCAGTCCTGTTGGGGTTACCATGGGCCCTAAATCTTCAACACCAAATTTTGCACCTTATATAAAACCTAAACCCCAATCCTCATTACAAATACCGTCATGCCTGAGGTGAGTAGTATTTTATTTGGGGATATTATGGTGCCCAATATAGAGTAAGATTATATCCTCCTTTTGGGGTATAGTATGTAATATAAGGAATAGAATCTTACCAGGTTTAACCACCAAAAAAACGCTGCTCAGGTGGCTTGAAGCCTAGGGGCATGCGCGAGAACCGCAGTCCCCGCTCTGTTCGCCTGGGGGTTGTGAAGGAGCTCCATCTCCTATAGTCGGAGGGGTTTAGGGTTTAGGGTGGGGTTATATTAGGATGATGGAAAAGAAAATGGACACTACTATTTAGGGTTTAGGGTTAAGATTGGGGTTATGTAGGGATAATGGAAAAGAAAATGGAAACTACTATGTTATAATAAGGTATATACTGGGGTTATAGTCCCCCTTAGTAGATAAAATATGGCATTGGGTACATTATAATAAGATCCCCATATACCCCTTACTCTATCTACTTAAGGGGCACTATAGACTTCAGGATTTTGCGTTTAGGGGTTAGGGCATTTGGTTTGGGGTTTTAGGGGCTGGAAACAATCTGGTATACCCTTAATAGAAAATGGCTGTAGTTCTTGTATCGTAGTATGACCCCCCCCCGGATTTGTTGAGATCATGTTTTTGTTATGGGTCTACGGGGGCGGCTAGGGCCGTACTCTCCCAAACCAATTTGTAAGGAGCAATTCAAGGCGTTTACGTGGATGATTCTAGGGTTTCTCGGGGGCTAGTACCTGACTGCACCACTTTTACTTCTGCTGCTTTTCTAAATGCGACTGTTTGCACTGCGACCACCACGATAGCAGCGAAAGCCTCTATAACTGCTATTGCAAGGTTCCATCACCTTCGTTTGCCGCAAATTTCGTGTTCTGAGGGGAAAGCGGTACAAGTTGCTTCAGTGTTTT